GAGGGGAAGGGACCCCAGGGGAAGGGGTGCTGTGAGGGGGGTGTCCCCCTGGCACCCCAGGGACAGGAGGGGTGGGGGTCCCCCTGGCACCCCAGGGATAGGAGGGGTGGGGGTCCCCAGGGGAAGGGGGGCTGTGAGGGTGGGGGTCCCCCTGGCACCCCAGGGACAGGAGGGGGACCCCAGGGGAAGGGGGGCTGTGCCTGCTCAGTAGCAGCAGGAGGAGGGATTAGCTGTGTGGGGGGGGGGCGGGATACCAGGCAGCTCCTCTCCCTCCTCCCGCAGCAGCCCGAGCTGGCCCCAGCAGGGCAGGGGAAAAGGCTGCTGCTGCCCCCCCTCCTCCCTGCCCTCTGTCACCTTCCCTCCTTCCTCCCCCCCCCCCCCCGGGGGGGGCCCCCCCCCCCCCTTCCTTTTCCTCTGGGAGAGGGAGGGCGCCACTGGAGCTGGGGGGAGGCAGGGCTGGGAAAGGCTGGGGATTGAGAGCTGCAGCTAGGCCGCTCCCTGGGCAGGTTCCCAGCCCAGCAGCCCAGGGGGAAGGGGCTTTGGCCCCCAGGGGCTCGGATTCGCCCCCCTGCCATTGCCAGGGGCTGGGAGAGCGCAGGAGCCGGAGAGAGAGAGAAGGGGAAAGAGGAGAAAGGAGGTGGAGAACATCCCTTCCCCCAGCTGGGATGCACAGAGCCCAGCCACCAGAATTCAGCCAGAAAGGGACAGGCTTTTTCCTTGGGGTTCCCCCCTCCCTGCCACTTAGTGCAGGGAGAGAAGGAAGAAAACAGGAGGCGGGCCGGAGAGATATACAGGGACCTTTCAAACCAGATTTGCCAGCAAGCTAATAACAAGAATTGGTGCAGTCTTTTTCCCCCCCCTTCTTCTTCTTTTTTCCCCCCCTTCTTCTTCTTCTTCTTCCCACTGAAAGACTCAGGCAGAGGCAGGGAAGCGGATGGGAAAAGGGAGGAAGAGAAATAAAGAAGGAAAGAATCTCCATTTCATGGAGAGGGGGATTTTGCAGGGACTGGTTCATTTTACGCTGCAAGGAAAAAGAGATTGGGGTTCAGAGGCAGAGTTCAAGAACGGGGTCATTAGGCCTGGAAAGGTGGAGATTGGGGAGCCTGTTGAGGAACCAAACAAGAATTGCTATTTATTTTCAGGGAGCTGGTGGATTTTTTTGCTTTCGGAAGCTGGGTTCGCATGAGCCGGTATTTTATTTTCAGGGTTTGTTTTGTTTTGTTGTTTTTTTTAAAGGAAGAAACCGATTTGTGTCAAGTTTTAGGAACCTTAAAATGCAGTTAGGGGGGTTAACAAATTAGGAAATCTTCTTTTTTATTTAATTTTTGTAAGGGTTGAACTGGCCTCAGAAACAGTGTACATATTATTGTATGATTGTTATTGATTATTTATTTTTCAATGATAGCAAGGAAAGACCGAGCTGTTACCCTAAACGAAGTGCCAATTTGTGGAAGAATTTGAGCTTCTGGTATTTTTTGTTTCTGTTACAGTTTTTCAAGTATTAGGCCAGGGATTTTATTTTAATTTTTTTTTTGTCCTTGCCCTGCCAACAGAAGAACAGCTGTTAAAACTGGATTATAAGGATGTTTTTTTTATCTGTGTTTTGCAGTTAAGACTTTAATATTTTGAAGAAAAACTGCTTTGTTTCCTTTTACATTTTTCCGACAGCATCTGTCACCTTGAAAAGACTATTTTTGGACGTACTAAAAAGGCAAGTGTGTGTTTTAGTTTTTTTCAGCAGAAAACAGGAGGGGAAAAATTAAAAAAAAGAAAAGGAAAAAAAGGACTATGTTCACACTCCAGCTCAAGATGGACCTGCAGCTTCCAGGATCTTGATCTGTTTTCCTCTTCTGGAATTTTTTTTTTTTTCCGGGAGGGTGCGATTTTAAAATTATAAAAACAGTCAAGAAAACAGAGGACCCTGGGTTTTTGGATCAGCGAAGGAGACAAGAAGAATCATGAGTGTGAGGCCTCCGCAGACTGCACTAGACAGGTATGTGTTTGTTGGGTTATTAATTTTTTTGTCCTCTTAATGCTTGTGATTGAATATCAAATTTAGTGATGCTACTTCGGGATTTTGGTTCATTGTTCTGGGCAGGGCTTGTTTTGAATTGAGCAAACTGGCTACTTTGCTAGTTTGAGTGTGATGCAAATGGGGGGAGTGGTTGGGGGGCTACACAAATTGTGTATGGAGTGTTTTTTGTGCCTGTGTGTGTGTGTGTGTGTGAGAGAGAGAGAATTGGATTTGCAGGCTGGGGGAATGCCTTGTTTGTTTGTCCACAGGGGGGATTGTGTGTGTGGTTTTTCTACACAAAAATGCTTCTAAATCATTTTACTCTCAGTACTGTATGCGAGTTGCTCCCTGTCTGGGTCATCCCCCCCTCCCCCACTGATCCTCCAGCTTCCTCTGTTTCCATCTCCTATGCAGACTGCAGTGGGCTGTGCCTGGGCCTAGTTTAGGATGGGCATTATTCCATGTAGGTTCCTCTGCAGACTGTGTGGTCACTTGGTAAATTACCTAGATCCACTCCCCTGGAAGAGGAAATGCCCTCCCTCTCTCATGCACCATGTCAGTACCTGATCCTGCAGTCCTCACGCAGGCAAGGCCCTCACTGGAAGTTAATGGGAGTCTTGACTGCAGACGTGACCCCTTTAGCATGGTCTCTTGTGCCTGGAGTAAGGTTGTTGCAATCTGCCAAGTGATGTGGGGGAGTGTGGATAAGCCAGGTGGCAAGTGGGGTGCAGGCAGTGAGGCTAGCTGCTGCAGTGGGGGGGTGGTGGTAATGGATTGGGATGGTGCCATGCTTGCTGGGGGCCGGGGAAGGCCATTGGATTGAAACAGAGGGGAGAGAAGAGCCTGGAGGGTTACTCCCCCACCTCTTCCCAAAACAAAAGTCCATGCAGAAAACACTGCACCGATTCTTTCCTGGACTGCAATCTTCTCCTTTCACTGCAGTCGTTGGTTTAATATCCTTCCGTGTGGAAAGACATGAGATAAAGCAGGTATTCTAGTGTATGCTGCATGCTTGGGGTCTATTTTTATTTATTTATTTTTTTGGTCCTATCCCTTTCTGTGCTGCTCAGAGGATTTTTATCATCAACACACTCTCAGATTTCTAAATGCCACCCAAGCAGGAGCTGATCCATGGAGTTTAAATCTCTCATGCGTTTTCTAAAAGTTAATAATAATGAATAATATGCTGCATTTTTAAAAATAACACTTTTCATCCTCGGAGGAACCTCACTGTGCCTAGAAGCTACAGGCTAGGCCTGCATGCTCTTCCTAGCAGGTGTAGTGTTTACTACTGCAAGTAGTCCCACTCAGTAGCAAGCACTACTCCAGCTAGTTAAGGTCACACCTACACTATAGGCGCTGCAGCTAAGCTGTTGTAGTGTAGATGCTTCCTACAGGGCCGGAAGGGGTTTTCGGTCGATGTAGGTAATCCACCCCCCCGGTCGGTGGTAGCTAGGTTGACAGAAGAATTCTTCTGTCAGCGTAGCCGCGTCCACATTGGGGGTTAGATTGGCGGTCAGGAACGTGAACTTTTTGAACCCGTGACGGCCGTAGCTAGGTCGATCTAACTTCTAAGCGTAGACCAGATCTCAGGGTTTGGAGTGTTAGCTTCACGCTGAAATGCATCAACCTCTAGGGTGGAGGATGTCAACAGCCAATGGTGAGAGGCGAAGAACGAACCCCTTATTATGAAAAGTGCCACAGGATCTTTGCGGCGCCTACAGCGCTGTCTCTGCTAGGATTTGAAGTGGCTTGTATTAAGCACGCTGCGGCACTGGTGTCTCTGACACCTGCCTCTGGTAGCAACTGGCTTTGGGCTGGTAGCTTTAGTTTTCCCTGAGGAGTGTTGGCTGTGCAAACAGCAATGGTCTTTCTCTGTCCGTTCAAGCTAAGCTACTCCCTGTATTAGAACAAATACAGATTTTGATTAGGCAGGTATTAAACCCTGATAAGTTAGGGCCTGGTGATTCATTTACTTACTGATATTTCTCTTGCTCTCATTGCCATAGTAGCCGCGTTCCTGCAGGCAAATGAAATCGCTGCCAGAGGTGGGGCCTCACCCCCAGGGCAGATAATACTGTGGGCAAGCCAGAGGGGCTGGCTGGGGGCGCTACGCTGAATGTTTGAAGCACCTAAACCACCTAGAAATTGAAATCTTTCTTGGCCGGGGTGGGCCCAGAACGCTGTGTCTGCAGGATTTCAGCTGTCGTTGAAGCTTCTAGCCCTTCCGGTTATGACGCTATAACCTTGCAGCTGCGACCCCAGGCAGGGCTGTCTGAGTCTGCATGCAGGCCGCCCCCGTGCCTCTGCTGATGCCTGGAGCTTTTCGAAGGAGCTGTGGGATTGGCAGGAAAGCGGTAGGGTGCACAGCTGGGATTGGGACAGCTGTTTATGGGGCAGAGGACAAAGGACCCCAAAATGGAGTAGAATAGTGGGAGCCCCCCTCTCCCTCAATCCCCACCAGAGCCAAGATGCCGGGGAAGTGGGGGATGATAGGAGAAAACAGTGGATGCCTAGCAGACGCCATTCCAGTCCTTTTTACTTGTCCCTGATGGCTTCTGCGCCCATATTCCACATTCACTTGCGGCCCTTTGCCACAGCAAGCTCTGACATCGGGGCGTGCGTCGGGGTTCCTTTTTTTCCCCCAACAGCAGAGGACCCAATGGCCAGAGGCTTCTGAGAGAAGAGCACGGACAGCACCCCGGTGGGAATCCCAGAACCCTTCCCAGAAGCTGTGGGTAGCAGGTGGTCTGAGGGTTTCACTCCAGGCCACAGGAGGCTATCGGACATTCCTAGCATTTGTGTCGGCCCCCGGGAAGGTTAGTTTGTTTGGTTTGTCCCTGCTGATGTAACGCGCGCTGGCCAGCCGGTTACATTCTTCCTCTGATCAAAAGAAGTTCATCCCAAGCCTCTGGGGCCAGCAGTGGTTCGAATCCTGGAAGAGACCCTGCGTATGTGATGGCCGACACACCGGGGATTGAACTGGGCGTCTCCAGAGCTGCTACAGCTTGAGCCAAAGAGTGAAGGGACTCTAGGAGGGGCTGTAACAGATTCCTGTTCCCTGTGGATCAGGCACAGGGTTGCGGGGTGGAGACAACTTTGTTTAGCTACCTGGGAGCACCATAGTTTACTCTGTAGGACTTTCTATCCAGGACCATAAAAACCTCCGTGCTGTCTGCTTTGCAGGGGATGTTGCAAACCTTGTTAATGTCTCCTCTTCCAGTTGCGTGGCGGCCTGGACGCTGCTGGGCTTCCGCCCTGCACCGTGCAAGCGGCTCCAGTTCCAGTAGTGCATAGCTGGCATGAAAAACGCAACATCAGGGTAGCACCCCAGGGCGGCGCGCCTACTGAAGCGAGCTAGTGGAGGTACCTCTAGCTCAGCTGGACGGTCACCTGCCTAGACGCGGACCGGGACTCCAGTGTGCTAGGCGCTGTACAAACAGAACATTGACAGGTGCGTGTTCTGCCTAGCTGGGGCGCACAGGGGCACAGCGTGCCTAGGGAGTTAAAGGAGAGTGCTTACAGAGCGGCTGCCTGTTGCTCATACTGGGTCAGACCAATGGTCCATCTAGCCTGGTAGCCTGTCTTCCGACAGCGGCCAATGCCAGGTGCTTCAGACGGAGGGAACAGAACATGCAATCATTGAGTGATTCATCCCCTGTCGTCCACTCCCAGCAAACAGAGGCTAGGGACACTCAGAGCATGGTGTGGCATCCCTGCCCATCCTGGCTAATGGCCCATCCTTCTCGGTGCCGGTAGGGCACTGGTGGCGAGGGGGGCGTGATGCCTTCTGTGCCCTGTGGGTGTGGGCTGGTGCAGGGGGCAAGTGAGGCATTGATAGCGCAGGTGTCTGGGGTAAGCCTTCTCCCTCGGAGCCGTATCACGTGATAATTCTGAGTCCTTGCACAGCGTTTCTCGTCCAGGGATCTCAAAGCACTTTCCAAAGGTCAGTGGTGGTGATCAGACAAATGAGGAAACCCCTTGGCTCCACGCCGTATAGTGGGGCTCGCAAACAGAACCCAGATAGAAACAGAAACCTTGAGCTTTAGCCACTAGGTTGCACTCCCTCATGGAATTGGAAATAGAACCCAAGAGTCCTGACTCCCAGCCCCCTGTGCAAACCGCTAGGTAATGCTGCTGCCTTGAGACTGGGGTTCGTGTTGTAGAGTTACAAAATATACTGCCCTAAAGAGCGATGGCTCCTTCATTACAAGGAAAAGAAAGTGTGGCCAAAAATAGAAAGGAGAAATAACAAGGTTTGTTCCTCTGCTGTTCAAATACCTTTCGCTTGTCACGTAACTGGAGCTTGTCAGGAACCTTTATGCCCCGATGAGTTTGCAATTTCTCCGCGTCTCAGTTGGGGAGGGATAGGGCTGAAATGCAGCTGAACTGCTTGGCCATGGTGATGGGCTGTCAGTGGGGAGGATAAGGAGGAGGGAAGGATTTCTGCCCTTTTATCCTCTGCAGGTTTCAGTTCCTCGCAGGCTAATGAAAGCAAAATAATCGGCTGCGATGTCCGCAAAGCACTCTGCAATTTTACTAGTTAAATCTCCACAGGAAGCGGCCCACTTCTGCTCCAGCGCCGCAAATCAGATTAACTGTCTGTACCAGACAAGCGTTGGAGGGGGTGGCTCAGCAAACGACGCATCCGTCTCCATGGAATCACGGGTTCAAATCCGTGCCTGGGTCCTCTCAGCTCTTCATCCTTACAAGGTCGAGGAATTCAGCTCCCCGCTGGCTACAGCATAGGAGACGTTAATAAAACAAGATCTGGACTCTTTCCCCCACACGCCCAGGTGTTAGAGGGATGCAAAGGTGATTCTTTTGTAGGAGAATGGGATTGGTCCTGCCCACTGCTGCTGTCGTGCCCTGTACCAGTGAATCGCTGCCCTCCGCCCCAGAGCTGGCTGCATTTTGGTGGTGGATTTTGGTACATACAGGTATTGGTGCTACGCTGAGCTGGCAAAGCCCTGCGCAGA